ACAAAATGCATACTTCCATTTCCTTTCCTGTTTTCAGTTTATATCCTCTCTTTAATCCTCCTCTGTGGTTGTAATGCCATAGCTACTGCCTTTGCTGTGGGGGGAAAACCACATACTGCCTGGTTTTTTTGCTTGTGTTTCAGCTTTCTTGCCCTCGAAGCTATCCTGGTTCTCAGCCAGGACAGAGCTATTTTTTTTTGCAGTAACTGTGAGGGAATGGAGTCTGGAGCCATGTGGGCATGTCTAGATTATTACTCTGTATCACCTCTTGTCACTGTCAGGGCAGAAATGCTTCCCAGAAGGAATGGCAATGGCTTGTGGTCAGAAAGAAGAGTACAGGTGAAGAGGGTCTGTTTGCCATTTTGTTCATTTGTGGGTCGCACTGGGTCAATTTGGGCTCAGTGAGCATTTTTTGCACATAAATCACCCTCCATTTTGTATATTTTTCTTATTAATATTGTTACCGTTACTGTTTGTTTTCTTATTTTATTGCTGTTTCCAGTAAATTCTTCTTATTTCAACCCATAACCTCTGACTTTTATGTCTTCCACCAGAAGAGCAGTAAGAGGAGCAGTATCTGGTTTGGATTAGTCTTGGTTGGGGGTATCACTAAATTAGGGAGTGACATTCCTGAACCATGAAAAAAGCCTCTTAGACCATGGCCTGCATGCAAATTTGGAGCTGTTCGGGTGGTAGTAACCCATTGTATAGTTTCATTTTGTTCTCCCTAGTGAAAAAGTTTTTGTCTCATGTAAGGAAAATATTTGCAAAAGGAGTGAGAAAAATGCAACAGGTGATAAGCATCATTTAGAACTCATGAAAGGTGCTGTTGTAACAGGATATTTTTATACTTACATGAATTTAAGTGTCATGATTTTTTGGAAGGGTTGGGGCTAATTGCAAAAGTTTGCTGCCCCAAGGCTCCCTGAGGCAATGGGATGAACTGTACACGACTGTCAGGGTATTACTGGTGGGTAAGATCTAGCATCTCCAGGGACAGAAGATCAGAGCCTTCTGTATCCTTCTGCCTCCCAGCCAGTGTGCAGTTCTGTTCTCCCATATTTAAATCATGTACCGTACTTGTTTATAGTAGCTTATCAAGCTAGAAGGAGAAATTTTTTTGCTGTGATAAATGGTAATTAGAGAAATCACCTTTAAATAAATTCTTTAAAAACTGTTAATTTGTATGGCATAATTACTTATTTGTGTGCATTTCACTTTTCCCTTGTCTCAGAAAAATGTGATTCCTACTCCTTGATTTTTAAAAAAACCCAAAAGTAGAGGTTACCAGATCTGAAAACTTAATTTCGTAGTCTTTATTTTTTTTTTTCCTTATGTGACTTTTTTTAGTTTTGATTATTAGAAGTTCAGGGTGGGAATCTGAGCTGCTCTGCCTCAGTAAAGCTAACAGTGGTTCAAGGCCTCCAGACTCAAAGCCTCAAGGCTTTGACTTTCTGGCTACAGGCTACTCTGGGGGAAAAAAAGAAAAAAGGAAAAAAAAAAAGAAATAAGTAAAATTTGGCCCTGAAACACAAAATATGTGAACCTGTCACAGTAAGCAGTCTCAAAGGCCAAGCTGCTTTGCAGGAGCTAATTAACCTTAGGAAATAATTACATAAATATGCAAATGTTGTTTAGACAATTCCATGTGTTATTGACTCAGGTAGTCCATCATAACTGCAGACCTTGCAATGTCTAGGTGTTAGAATCTGGCATAGTTGATAAGGCTTCAGTTGCTGCATTGCTCCAACCTGGTATTTAATAATTAATGACTGTGATATTACTTTGGTAAATTTAGCCTCTTTTTTGAATGCAACAGAATATAATATTCACAGTGTGCATACTGCTTATCTGTGTATACCTAATGGCTCCAACCGTTAAAATGTTACATACCTTTCAACTCGTAGCACTAGCCATGCTGGAAAAAATGGCAGATCAAAATCTGAGTTCACTCCCTCCACATTTCTGCCCAATGGATGTCCCAGGAGTAGCCTTGTTTGGATTACTTTGTATTGTGTAAAGATTGCACTAGGGCCTTTTCACAGCATACAGTTCTTAATCTTTTCTTCCCTTCATGTTAATTATATATATAATGATCAAGAGGAAGGGTTTTCAGAGGGATGGAGACCCACAAATTCAGAGAACCAGACCACTTATTTTGACATAGAATTACTTGCTGCAAGTCACCAGCTTTCAGAAGCTGGAAGTTGAAGTTCAAGTTTTCCTGTATGTGTCCATCTCAATCTGTTAACAAACAAGAATGCATTCAGCCTGAGGTGCCTTTTGAGGTACATAGTGTGATTTCTCCAGGATAATGTTCATTCATTTCTGTAGACTTGTGTAGATAATTATGTAAACTCTGACTGGAAAACCCCCTCTCTCTCAAATAATTTAACAATGTTCTATATAAGTGCATTCAATTTAGCTTCAGAGAAATTACAGAAAGCAACAGCTGCCAGAGACTGTCATCTTTCATGCTGAAAATGCAGCATCCTGTCTCATAATTTAATCCAAGCCAGGCAGTAGAGATTAAATCTCACAGACCCAGTGCAATTTGAAATCCTAAGGAGATCAGCTGTGAAATGCTCCTGCAGCTGGATATTCCATGTACATACATGGAGCCAGGTCTGAGGTGTTTGTAATATGGGTTTGTTACAGATGCTGTGAAGAAAGGGCTTTTTTGCTAAGCATATAGGACTCCTCCAGACTCTTTCTTACACATATATGCTTTTCTAACCTTGTTTAGGGTTTAGTAGAGTGTACAGCTACCCAGTTTATCCTGACATTTTATGGTTTTGGGTTTTTTTAACTGGTAATAAAGGAAGTTGCAGTCTAACTCATTCTAGCTTATTTATTTTTGCTTTTATAGAATCCTATTGAGTCTTTGCACTGGACTGTGAAGCTGTGAAGTTATTAATTGAGTTTACTGGACCACTGGTTATGCTTTGATTGGTGAATGTTTTTTTGGGCTGAGTTCAGAAGCTTTTTGCTGATGTCTTAGTCTTGTGGAATCTAAAATGGTGTGCTTTTACTAGCAGTGTGTCAATTAATAAATACAAAGCAACCTGAAAATGCTATATTAAGCAGAAAAAGTGTCCTCTTTTTCTCAGATTGTTTAAACAGCATTGGGTCCCTATACAAAAATTGCTGTTAAAAGTATTAATGTCAACATTATTATTGAAAAATAAGTACTTTCTGTGTGTATAACTAAGATAAATCTTTTAGATAAATTAGTAACTCTGAAACTTTCTCAGTGTTTTAATGTACTTTTTTTCTGTACAGATTATAGAGTACATCACTTTTGCACAGGAAACTCCTGTTCTAGTTGTCCTTCAGCTTTATCTTAATGACTGGTTTTTCAATCATATTTTCTTTATGCAATTTTTTTCTAAAAAATTTCCCTCATTCCTCACAAAGGGAGGAGTCTTTACTTTCTGTACCTATCTATACAATCAAATTTCAAAACAGAACAAAACTGTTTTGAAATAAGTCTTTTCTTATACTGAGGTAGTTTATAATAGGTGATACAGAATTAGTTAAAACTATGTTTTGTTGTAGTCAGTAAAGAGCAGAATCTGTCCAGGAGTAAGAGAAATTCAGGTTTTTCTGTCTTATAATCACTGCTGCTGAAGCAGAAAAGCACATCATTATTCTAAAAACTTTGAGTCAGGATCCTTAAAAGATTTGTTACCATCTCACTCTTACTTAGAAAACAGGGTATGAGAATAGAAATAAAAGCCGGAATCAACCACATTATTTAGCTGTGTCTCTTCCCACTGATTTTAAACACTTATAAGAGCTTAAATCCCCAAAACTGAGTTGCAGAATGGTATTGAGATCCAGATCACCTTAACATTCTTGATAAATTTCAGTAATTCATACTGTGTAATTAGCTGCTTCTGATTGCCAGTCGCTTTTACTGGTTTGTGCTTTCTTTTTCCTAAGGAAACGAGGCTTTTCTTGTCTGTGTCTGAGTTAGCTAAGGATATGAAGTTGTTGCTAGCACAGACCAAAAGGAAAAGGAATGCAAACTTTAGGAAAATACATGACCTTGACTGGTTAGTTCTTTCTGGCATTCAGGAGCCTGGAAAGAGCCAATATTGTTACCCTGGTTGTGTGAAATACTGGCAGAGCAGGGTTCCTAGCAGAGCATCTTGTTGCCTGAGACTAGACCAAATTTGTATTTATGACCGCAACAACCCAAGAAAAAAAGGAAAATCTAGAGGGGTATAGTTTTTTCCAAGAGCCTCAAGGATACAAGTACACAACCATGAGTTTTGATGAGACTACACTAAAATCAATGTGTGTCCCTCTAGTGCCTTCTGTGACTCTTGCACTGGCTGACTTTGACAAAATCTTGTTCAATAGTAAGAAAACATGGTCTCCTAGCTACCAAAAACTCCAAAGTAATGGCTGCCATCAGTCAAGAGGTGTTTTGTTTGCACCATGTCTCATAGTCTGCAGTCACAAAAAGTAAGATTTGAAAGAGTAGTTGCAAATACCATAATTTTAATCTTAATTCAGGTTTCCAGTGGCTCATAGTATGAAAAAAAAAGTAAAAGTTGAAATTTTAGGTCTTCACCAACTTAAATTTTTCTATGATTATGTATTTATATTGTATTTCTTACCTGTTTTTATTTACCAGTCTAAGGCTTAAGTACTTTAAACAAACCCTCAGTGAACAAACATTTGACAAAAGAGTTGTCAAAAAAATGAAAATCCGAGCTCATAATTCTATGAATGCCTCAGAATTGTCATCATGGTATTTGCGCAAAATTTTGCAAATGCATAATTTTGTTGTATTTATTAAAGTAAGCTCGAAAAGCAACAGTTTTACTGCCTTTATTTAGACAAAAGAATCTGTTCTCTTTTTGATACTAGTGTGTATTCATTTGATCTTTATTTTAACAAAACGTTCTAACATATAGGAACACATTATTTTTAGACAGAATTGCCATTTTTTAAAAGATAATTGTCACAAATGTAATTTCTTTCTGCAGGATAATGGCTCTCCTGAAGAACATGCGATTTATGTTTGGGACCATTTTATTTCCCAGTCAGCTGCAGAGAATGTGTTTTTTGTTGCTCACAGTTATGGTGGACTTGCCTTTGTAGAGTTGGTAAGTGTGAATTCTCCATTGCCGTCTTTCCTGAAGACTGTCCAGATTTTCTACATTCTTTGTGATCACCTTCTTGAAAGTAGCTAGGTAGAAACAGCTGTGTCACTGGTCATGTACAGGTTGGTCAGTATTTCTTCGCAACCAGAAGGTCACTGCATCTTTTCTGGTTTTGAGATAGACAGTAAGGTCCCAAGTGTGCATGAACCTGAAAGACTATGGGGAAACAGAACATGCTGCATCCCTCTTGTCCAGAGTATGTACTGAAAGGCACCAGTTATATGAGACTAAGGACATATAAAAATGGTTTTAAAGCAAAGTCACAGACACAAATTCAGCTTTTTGCATATAGATTGGAACTGAATGTGCAGGGAAATATGGTAGTTTTATTCAGTTTTTGCAGTTTTTCTACAAAGATCTGCAGAACTTGCTGGAAGGACTTCTGTTTTCCCATTTATTAGGCTCTGCAGCAATATAAGGTGGGAAAAACTTTGCTCAGTGTAAAGCTGTTCTGCATCTGGTGCTGAAACTGCTGAACATTTAGTTTGTCAGTCTTTCACTCTTTTCTCTAAAGGCAGATCTCTCGACCCCATCTGGTATGCCAAGCTGCCTGTTAAACTTGTGTACCATTCTGTCACTGTAGCTACAGTCTCCTCCTAGGATTTTTAAAAAGTAGTGTAATCAGGATATGTTTTATTGAAGAAAACTACAAAAAAGTAAGGGTCCTGTTTATTGTGGAAAGGTAAATTGCAGAGCATTAGAACTGATTTTATAGACGCAGGAAACAACAGACACATATGTACCTCTTCTGTCTGCAACTCATTAGTTTAATCTAACTGAAAGTTGATTAAGATGTTTCCTGCCTGAACATAAGATGAATGCCTTAGTTAAGAAAAATCATGCATGGGCATGTTGGTTTTAGTCTTAGCCTGCTCCAAGTAGCAATAACAATCCAGACAATGGCCACTGGTATCACTTTAAGAACTTGAGATTTTCCTAAACCCCCCTTTTTTGTTGTTGTTGAAATTAATGCCATTTTCATTCGTCATTTCATTTCATTTCATTCATCTCTAAGATCCTGGAAGAGACTGTGCAAAATAATGATATGTACAGGTTTAAGACTTGAGAAACAGTTCATTTCCTGATCTGAAGATCATTTGAGAATTGATCATTTTTCACAGGTGCTTTATTACCTGATCAATGAATAGTCTCAAAACTAAATTTTTAAGAGATCTTGAAGGTGAATAACTCTTTCTGTAACTACATCTATGGGAAAAAGATGAATTGCATTGCATGTTCCCGTTGCTCTTGAGATGTCATGAATGTTAGGAAGCAATTGTTCTGTCTTGGCTTTCCTGAGATGTGATTTTCAGCTGCTCTGTGTTTCAGCCCAGGTTATTCTGGTGCGACTTGTGGGTCCAAAGATTGGCAGATTTTCTGTAGGTTTTGTAAAGCCACATTGTTTGGGTCACCAGATGCCCAGAGATACATACATGTGGCAGAGGGCAGGAATAAGAAGCAACTGGAGACCTTTCTCCGTGTTTCCGAAACAGAGTACTGACTTGAAGGAGGCTTGGAGAGTTTTTCCATCACATTTCAGACAATGGCTTGAGGTGGTCTGGGTAACAGATGACCAAGGCGTCATTCCCATTTTCCTTGTTTTTCTTGTCACACTGGTAGATATTTCTTCACTTCTGTTGTACTTTAATATGAAGCACACTGATATTTCAGAACAAGACTTGACTTCTGACCTTGGGGCTTCAAGGGTCAGGGTGGTCAGGGCCTGTGAAGTTATCACAAGCTGAGCGAAAATTTTTATCAATTGCAGGAAACAACCAGTAAGTAAGAAGTTAAGAAGTATCTTTGTTAGAAAGACAAGACGGTTTCCGTAAGAGTCAGCTTCTTTACTCTGCTGTCTCTGCAGGAGATGCATACCTGGGAGGAGTAATATTATACATATCCATTGACACATTACATATCTGTCATGCAAAACTAGACCTGAAATGTATTTTTAATGTAAATCAATGTTTTTCTAAAAAATCAAAGGATATTAACACCTGGTTTAGGCAGAGGTAGTTTGATATTTGAGTGCTACCAGAAGCAGTTTGATTAAATAATTCATACACTGAAGGACACATCATTGAAATAAACCCTGAGCTATTTCATTGCAGTATTCATTTGTAAGGTTTTATTTTGTTATCATCTTCTTTCTCTTAAACTTTATATCCATATGGCACTTAGTAATTCCAATGAGCTCCAAAAAGAGCAGCTGATGGGCAATTACTGTCTTATGACAAATACATTTTCGATCACTTCACTTTCTTCTCTGATTCACATGGGGGTGATGATGAGGTTGATAGAGCAGCTACACCTTATAGCTCCTACACCATATACCATGTACCACCTCTACACTTCCTTTGCAAGTTTTTGGGTTAACTGATTCATGAAATTGTAGGTTACAGTTGTTATGGAGACCTGTTGCACAGCTGCTCCTTCTGCATTTGTGCCTCTTACAGGAGAGTAGTGTGAAGCATATGGCTTTAATTTGGAGTGAAGGTTTCTGCCTGAGCCCTCTGCATTTTATTTTGCATGCAGGGAAAAATAAAATGAGCAAAAATATCCAAAAATATTTGTGTTTTCAATTCATATATTCTTAGTGAACTTTCTGTGTTCAGTGCTGCGAGGTCTGTCATGATGGCTTGCGGTCATCTCGGCCACAGCTTGCCACTTCATCATGGTGTAAGGCTCCTGATGGAAATGGGATGTTCTGCCATTAAACAGAAAAACCCAATGGAAGCTGATATGAAGCAAAGTCTTGTTCATGGGTATTGATACCATTGTGTGGGAAGAGCTGCTGCTCTCCCAGGAAAAGGCAGGGAACAACATTTGGCCTTCCACGGGCAGTACCCATCTAGGTGCTACTTTGTCTGAAGCTGCTGAGGGAGGTAGCATAGGAAAGGCTGTGCTGCTCTGCCTTGTCCCTTGATTGGCACTTGATGCACTTTGTTGGGAAACACAAAGTGAGAGAGAGCAGATAGGACTATCACATATGAAATTAGTATAAAAGGAGGATAATTTTTATTTACAAAACTTTGGTGGCCAAATTTTGGTCTTCATTCCAAATTTCTTCTCACCATAAAAATAAGGCTGTGTTTTGGAAATCCTTTATTAAACAAACAGGTAAGGCTTAGCTGCAATTTTCAAATACATGCCACATCAGGTAAAAATTTTATTGATCTTTGCAGCTTTTAGATCTACATTTTCTCATGTCTGTGATTGCAGGATGTTAAGACAAACAGAGCGAGTCTGCAATATCATGCTCAAATACACAGAAACTGTTACCCAGTTACTGCAAAATAAGCACACATTTTCTGTACCTTGTTGTGTCATAGATTACTAGGGGAATAATTGAAAGTGATTAAAATGTGTGGAAAATAAAATTTCACCAATAAATGTACTAAGTGTTATTGTTCTGTTGTTTATAGGTTGAATTACAAATGGTAAATCATAAGCCATATGTTAGAATATATCTTAGTATTTACTAAATTAAACTTTGTGTAGTTGTAGTTTGAAATTTAACTAATATTTAGTTTAATTTTATATTGAGTGATAATATTTGCACATGAATTACTTTTTGAATGTAGAGCACTAAAACGAATTGTTGGGTCATTGTGTTTTGCTAATTGCTAATTACTGATTTTTAAAAACTTAAACCATGGTTCATTAACACATCTCAGCTTCTTAATTCTGTTATCCCTTGCACTGTATAGTGAGGGATTTATTTTCAGAATCAGTTTGCTTTACTTTACAGTAAATTGTGGAACCTTCCAAACTGCAAGCTTATAATAATTTTATGAAATTTAACAGAAACTGAGAATTTCAAGTTGATGGAGTCAATTTATATTTAGTTTACAAAAAATAAGAAGTTTCTGGTATAATGCCTCCTTTGAGTTTTCCTGCCAAATTTTATGGGTTTACCATTATTTTGCTTTAAAAATAATGTTTTTCCTTGCCATTGCCTGAATGAAAGACCCACACAGAAGAATCTTTGTGGAACGCTTCTGCTGTTTGCTTCCTATATTTCTGAGACCCTAAGCTTTACATTTTCAGTTATTTCTGTATAATTTTATAACTAGAGTTACAGTCTTTTTGTTTCATTTTTAGTTAAATACTATCTTTTAAAAAATACCAAATATCATAGGAATCATGAAAAAATTGTGAGAATCATTAATAGTGACTCCATCTTACATCATTCATACTGCTGTAGAAATACGAACTACACACAGGAATGCAGTAATTAGAAGGAGGAAAGTAGGTTGTCTTCAGCAGGTGTAAAGTATTCATTATGGTTCTTTTGGCTAAAATATTGGGTGTATATATTGACAGTTTGCACAAAGGTGTAGGTAAAATGGGGGGAGGGTGTCCTTTTAGCAGTCTTTGTTACAATGAGAGCCCTTAAAACGCACTGTTCAAATTATCTATGCACTGTAGAGTCCTAATTCCATCAAATCTGCAAATTTTGGCAATTTGAAATAATTTTAGGTCCATCAATTTGAGATCCTCTCTGCAATATGCTGCTGCTTCATTTTGCTGTATTGTGTTGAATATGGCAAAGACCTGGCCCTGGCTGGCACTCATGGGTGCCATAGTAATGATGATAGACAGGCATCTGCTAAGCTACCTGTGAGTCTCTGAGGCTACATCATTATTCTGGTGCAGGCAAAATGCAATTTAAGAAACTTAATGGCTAGGCTGTGAACCTATCATTAGTTTTTCATTAATTTAGTTTCCTGAAGCCTCAGACTGAATGGTTTGTTATATTTGGCTTTTTATAAATACTTATATAAATATATCTACTTATTTTTTAGTTCAGTTTACCTGGAAAATTGATGAGTGGGTACTGTGGACATGCAAGTCTTAATTCCCCTGGCTGACATGTTAAATCGAAATAGTCTACTGATGTGTGGTAGAGATAACATATAGTCTGTGATGGCTGTAGGAAG